AACAGACTTTTCACCAAAAAAGATATACAAATGGCCAAACAAGCACCTGAAAAGATACTCACCACCTTTAGATGTCAGGGAAATGTAAATGAAAATTACAACGACATACCACTTCACACCCGCTGGGATACCTATCCTTTTTCTTTTTTCTAAGATGGGGTCACTCCGTCACCCAGGCTGGAGTGCAGTGGCGCAATCTCAGCTCACTGCAACCTTCACCTCCTGGGTTAAAGTGATTTTTCTGCCTCAGCCTCCTGAGTAGTTGGGACTACAGGTGCCCACTACCACACCCGGCTAATTTTTGTATTTTAGTATAGACGGGGTTTCACCATGTGGATCAGGTTGGTCTCAAACTCCTGACCTTGTGATCTGCCTGCCTTGGCCTCCCAAAGTGCTGGGATTACAGGTGTGAACCACTGCGCCTGGCCCCCTATCCTTTTTCAAACTGAAAAATAACATTAGCATGGCCGGGCACCGTGGCTTATGCCTCTAACCCCAGCACTTTGGGAGGCTGAGGCAGGAGGAAAGCTTGAGCCCACGAGTTCAAGACCAGCCTGGGCAATATAGCAAGACTGCTTTTCTAAAAAAAAAAAAAAAAAAAAAATAGCCAGTGTGGTGGTGGGCACCTGTAGTCCCAGCTACTCAGGAAGCTGAGGTAAGAGGACAGCTTGCACCCAGGAGTTCAAGGCTGCGGTGAGATATTATGCCATCACACTCCAGCCTGGGCTGACAGAGTGAGACCCTGTCTCATCGAAAAGCAAGTGTCATAAAGGACGTGGAACAACTGGAACCCCTGTATATAGCTGGTGAGAATGTAAAATGGGGCAGCTGATATGGAAAACAGTTTGGTGGTTCTTCAGCAAATTAAACATAAAATTGCCATCCAAAGCTGGGTGTGGTGGCCCATGCCTGTAATCCTAGCACTTTGGGAGGCCGAGACAGGTGGACCACCTGAGGTCAGAAGTTCGAGACTAGCCTGGCCAACATGGTGAAACCCCATCTCTACTAAAAATACAAACATTAGCTGAGCGTGGTGGTGGGCTCCTGTAATCCCAGCTACTTCGGAGGCTGAGGCAGGAGAATCTTTTGAACCCAGGAGGTAGAGGTTGCAGTGGGCTGAGATGGTGCCACTGCACTCCAGCCTGGGTGACAGAGTGAAGTCTCTCTCTCTCTCTTTCTCTCTCTCTCTCTCTCTCATACACACACACACACACACACACGACCATCCATATAACCTAGCAATCTCACTCCTAGGTATATACACAAAAGAACTGGAAACAGGTGTTCAAACAAAAATCTGTATAGAATGTTCACAGCGGCATTATTCACAATAGCCAAAAGGAAGAGACAACTCAGATATACATCAGCTGATGAAAAGAAATGTGCTATCCAAACAACTGGATAGCAGCTATAAAAAGGAACGAGGCACGACACATGCTACAACATGGGTGGACCTTGAGAGCATCATGCCAAGTAAAAGAAGCCAGACACAGAAGGACAAAGACTGCGCGATCCCATTCCCATCAACTACTCAGAATCGGCAAATCCACAGACAGCAGACTGGCGGCTGGCAGAGGCTGGGGGAAGGCCAGTGAGGACTGGGTGCTAGTGGGAATGGGGCTTCCTTGTGGGGCGAGGAGGGTTTTCTGGAATAGACGGTGGTGAGGGCTGCACTACCCTCTGAGTACCCCTGAGTCCTCCAGGCTGATAGTGGCAACAGCAAGGGTCTCACAAAGCCAGGGACACACACTCGCTTTGGGAGGGTCAGCTGTTCTCGATACAGAGGAGGCATTAGTGTTGGCTGAACGTGAAGTGAGAAACAACAGGTGTGCTTCCTCAGTTTAAGTGTTTACTCCTAAAACAAAAACTGGGTGTCTATCTTAAAATGATAAGAAATCGCTGTGAAGGAGCATGACATTGTTTAGTGACCCAGCTTGGGCAATCTGGACTTGATTCTTCCCTGTTCACCCTCTTCTGGAATGCTGGTTATGGGGAGTTTTGTTTTTATCTGCTCATCCAGTGAGGGGAGAGGTGACCTCGAATTTACTTTAGCCTCCTGACGTCTGGCTTAACGATGGGAAATTATTTCTCCAACTCAGTATTATTTGTCAAACCCAAATCAAAACAGTCAGCCCTTCCCTTCAGTAGAAGCCACTCAAAGTCAGTGGTCCTAGAGGCTTCTGAGTGAGCACTGTGGCCCCCACCTGTCTGAACAGTGGCGCACATGAGCAGCAGCTGCACGTTCTAGAAGGAAGGTGGGGGGGGCACAATCTGAAATGCTGTTGAAATGCTATTTGAGACACTTGTCGGCCACTCAAATGGAAGCTACGGGAATAAAGAGGAAGCTGTTCCCTCCCCTTCCCTTCCCAGGGTCTCTCCACTGAAGAGACATGGAGCCCTTGGGGGAGGATGTGTCTACTGCTATGAGGTTCTGGGATTCTGGAGTCTCTGGCTCACGGAGGAGGTGGTGGGGGTGTCTGGAGAAGGGAGAAGATGAGGTGGCCAGTCCACATGGCAAGGCAAGGTGGTGCCCAGACAGGCCTTGAAACTGTGCTGGGGTTCAGGTGCCCAGCCAGGGTAGATCCCCACTGCCAGGCCCACAGGGAGGTACGGAGGCAAAGGGCATTACCTGCCTCAGTGGTGCATGGCCCTCTCCCAAGTGTTCCCAACAAGCATGGCTGCACTTCCTTAGGAAGAGGAAATAAGACACCAGAGGCGTCCCTCACACTCAGGGAGAGTGCCCCTTTAGTCCCTAACATAGACACAGCAAGCTGGAATGTCCAAATGCCCTCACACCCCACAACCTCCCGTGCAGCCAGGCAACAGCTCCCCAATATATTTGAAGTAAAAAAACAATCCACGCAACAGATACATGGATGTCTGTTAGTCTCTCTACTTTAAAGTATTTCATTGAAACAGCAAAATGGGCAACTGGATTTGTGACAAAGCCTCTCTCCTAGATTTTTATCATATAGGGGATTACCAAATTAAACAAGCGGCTCTTTCCCTTCATTTAAACACTACGATTCTAAAAATTCACAACTAGATATAAGATACTTATTGTTCAGTTGGGCAGGGCCAAATCACTGGTCTCCAGTAACTCTTAGATGATGAATAGAATTAAACACAAAGGTGCCTTTTTCACAGAACATCATCAGTGCTGGTTTCAGATACAGGCCCAGGGACAAAGACCCATAGGTAGGGAAGGGAGGGAAGATTAAGTGGCCAGCTTCTCCAAGTGCTGAACCTGATTTGGATTCCTGTAGGCCAGGGCTGGGAAGCCACAGCCCATGAGCCACATCTGGCCTCCTGGTTATCTTTATAAATAAAGTTTTATGGACACACAGCCAAGTCTATTTATCCACCTACTGTCTATGGCTGCTCTCTTGCTGCAACAGCAGAGTTAAGTAGTGGCAGAAGAGACCACATGGCCCCTAAAGCCTAGAAATATTTGCTATTTGGCCCTTTACAGAAAAAAGGTTTTACTAATTCTTGTGCTAGGCCAACAATTTCTGGATAAAAGGAAGAAATAAAGGAAAACAGGACAGATTTTCCCAATCAAGGTCTACGATGCACTTGTAGTCAGCAAACCTCCTGAGCCTACCTTACAAGTGAGAATGAAGGAAGAGGCAAGTTACAACCTCCAGTAATAAAAAGGGCTGTGGAGGCAGTCACTGGTGCATCTCAGCATAGGAATATTCAACAGATGCAACTTCCTTCCATCTGGCAACCACAAAGCAGGGTGGGCCCGGAGGGAGAAAGCAGGTGCTGTCCCTACAGAATCGCCCCCACCCCCCGAGGCCATGCACTCGGAGACTGGGTACAGCAGAGGAGAGGAGTGAGATGCGTGGCTGAAGAGGAGATGAATGTTAGCTCTGAAAACGGATCTGTCCATGCCTCATCCCCTGCACCTTCTCTGCAGAAGGTTGGTAAACAGCGGTTATGATAAGAAAAGGAGATTCTCCAAAGAAACCAGTCTGTCTAGGAAAAACTAAGGCGGCTAATGTGGAAGCCAGCAACTCAAAGCAAATTCTCTGCACTTTAGTCTCTAGGGGCCAAAAGTCACAAGAGCCAGCTCCCAGCCAAGACCTCTACAGCAAGTGGTCAGCTGACAAGCCCACCCACGGCCGGCTGTGCCAGTGCCGCATCCTTGCCTGTGTGAACAAAGAAACCCTTCATCTAAGAAGCACAGTCTTCCAGTTGGTCTCCTGTTCCCACACAGCAGCTAGGAAGATCCTCTTACTTCCCTGCTCAAAACACACCAGTGGCTTCCCATTATCCAACCAGACTCAGTGGTTCATGCCTGTAATCCCAGCACTTTGGGAGGCTAAGGTAGGAGGACTGCTTGAGGCCAGGAGTTTCAGGTTAGCTTGAGTGACATAGTGAGACCCATTCTCTACAAAAAATGACAAAAATCAGCTAGGCATGGTGGTGCACACCTGTAGTCTCTGCCACTTGGGAGGCTGAGGTGGGAGGATGGCTTGAGCCTAGTAGTTCAAGGCTGCAGTGAGCTAGGATTGCACCACTGCACTCCAGCCTGGGCAACAGAGTGAGACCCTGTCTCTAAAACGAAAAAACCAAAACAACCCCCACTCCCTGCCAAAATCCCAAAACCCTGTCTAGGCAGGCTGTTTATAAAACCCTACCCTCCCTTGTTGGTGCCTGGCTCCCTACCTCCATCCCTCCCCCCTCCCTACCCTCGCTTCTCCTTAGCCAACCGGTGGACACCTGGCGGTGGTCATGGCAAACCCACTTCCTCCATGGGGCCTTCGCACTAGCTGCTGCCTCTGGCTGAGGGAGGATCTTTCCCTAATCTTTGTACCATGGCCTCCTTCTTGACATTCACATTTTACTCTTCGTGTCGTCTGCTTGGTGAGACCGTCCCTGACCTCCTGAAGCAGCCTCCCAATCTCAGCAGAGGGGCTCCCAGAGGGTCCTGTCACCAGGGATGTGTGGAGCCATGTGAGTAGTTCTGGTTGTCACTATGGTGTTGAGATCCCCAGGGCCACTGCGCTGCAAAGGTGACACGCTGTCATATCCAATGTCACTCATGCCCTGCAGAAAACACCTGCAGCACTGCACTCCACTTTTGTGCCATCACTGGAGGCAAACTCTATGAGTGTGGGAACTCTGCACTCACAGTGGGGCTCAGCACTGCTGGGTCTCACCGTGAACCTGCTGGTTGACAGAATGAAGGGACTGCCTGGAGGAAAGCCACAATGTCAGAAAGAACAGCCCAGATAAAGAAGAACATGGTACCGAGAGAGGGTACAGTCCCTTCAGGGAACAGAAGGGTGACCTGACTCCAGAACCCAGCCTCTGTCACACCGTACAACTTCCCTGAGCTGGACAGTGGCCCAGTTCATAATCAGCAAGACAGTCAAGTGGCTGTGCCTTGTGAAGCAGCCTGAGAACAGGAGGAAGATGATGGGGAAACTTTGATTTCTATATTCCTTTATTTTTTAATCATGTGTGTTTTGACCCCTAAATAAATAAATAAATAACAGAAAATGTCTATAAAGACAGACTGGGAGGACGAAAGGTCATGACTGCTCCTGGGTCTCTCCAGGAACCACTCCTGTGGGCAATGGAGTCTTCCTTGTGTGGGGATCAGGTGCAGGCCAAGCACAGACCAAGCAGCAGACAGGCCTCCCTCCTGTCTCACCACGCACTCCTCTTTCTCTAATTTTATCTCCTGCCTTCTCTTTTGCCAATGTATGTCTTCTCTTCCTTTAAATTTAACCTTAAATTTGATATTTCATATTCAGGACAGTGATAGCTAACAAAATAAATTAAATACACTTACATTGGAATTATTTTGGAATATACTGTTAGGGTGTGAGACAGCTCTGTCCAACGGAACTTTCTGTGAAGGTACGAACGTTCCACCTCTGCTGGTCAACAGAGTAGCTGCTGGCCACGTGCAGCTACGGAGCACTTGAAATGTGGCCCATGCAACCGAGGGACTGAATTTTTTATATAATTTGAATTTTCATTAATTTCTATTTAAATTAAGAATAGCCTCCCCAGACTTTAGAATGTTCGATTAAAAAAAAAATCGCCACATGTGGCAAATAATGAACATCCTGGCCAGGGCAGGTCTAATGGCTTCAGAGCCCTCTGTCCTTCGATATTACCATCTAGCGAAGCCAGTCCTCAGTCAGAGATAACACCTGCAGGATGCACGATGTCTGAAATTAATCTCTTTAGGGCCGTGTTCATTTTTTTTTTTTTTTTTTTGAAATGGAGTCTCACTCTCTCGCCCAGGCTGGAGTGCAGTGGTGCGATCTCAGCTCACTGCAACCTTGCCGCCCAAGTTCAAGCGATTCTCCTGCCTCAGCCTCTCGAGTAGCTGGGATTACAGGTGCCTGCCACTGTGTCTGGCTAAATTTTGTAGTTTTAGTAGAGACAGGGTTTCACCATCTTGGCCAGGCTGGTCTTGAACTCCTGACTACATGATCCACCTGCCTTGGCCTCCCAAAGTGCTGGGATTACAGGCATGAGCTAACAGCACTGGGCTGCTCAATCTTATATTTAAAAAATATATAAAACATAGCATGATGGTGCATGCCTGTAATCCCAGCTACCTGAGAGGCTGTGGCAGGAGAATCGCTTGAACCTGGGCAGCAGAGGTTGCAGTGAGCTGAGATTGCACCACTGCATTCCAGCCCAGGCGACAGTGAGACTCCATCACACACACAAGATGAAGAAAAAGCCTATATCCTTAATAAAGCATTTCCCCCCTCTTCTGGAGACCTTAATTTCTAGGCTTGTTCTCTCACTCCCCCAGGCGGAGAACATGAAGATGACAATGTTGGCTGGATTTAGAAGCGGCACTGACTTCACTACAGGGGCACCGGAAAGTCTCTGCTTAACACAACATGCTGATAGGAACTAGATGATTAGACAGGATGCTGTGCTAAACCAGACACCGCTGTGCCCTGACCTTTGGCAGGTACCCAACATTTAAGGAAACACTGGAGGCCCGTCTTAGAATTGAAATATTCCAGATGACTCTTCCCTGTGATTTAGGAAAACATCACAGCATTTTATGGTGGCAGCCTGACTCACTCAGCTCCGCTAAGGATGCAGGTGGAAGCCTTTCCACCATCATACGGCAGGGCTAGAAGCTGCCATTCACCCTGCCGTTGCTTCAGTGTTGGAACTTTGAGCTTCTTTCTTGAACTGGAAAACTTTAGATTTCATATCATTTGCTTGATAAGCTCTTTCTAGAATTGCATGTAGTGTAGTGGAGCTTTTACTGAAGAGGGTGAGAAATGCTGACTGATCTTATCTACTGGCTTTAACTGTAATATGCACCCTAGGGTCCAGTGTGCTTTCTGGAGCTCCATAATTTAATGGTGAGCCTGTGTCTGCTTAGATGCTTTAAAGTGTCTGATTTTTCTTACCCAAAGCTCCAGGTGGCTCTTTACATGAAATGGGTTCCATCTTGTCCCATCCACTCAGGGACTATAAGATCTAACTGAATGGGGGCCAAGTTATTCCCAAGTACCCTGAATGTCCAGAAGCAACAGGTGCTACACTTCAGATATGACAGCCAACACTTCAGTTCTGAACAGGTCAATACTACGTTCTTCTTTTTTATCGACTCAATCCTCAACACAGTGCTCGCACAGAACAAGAGGTGCTCAAAACAAAACCTATCTTATAAAACACATGAAATATATATATATATGTAACTTATGCTCTACTGAGAAATATTCCCAAAATAAGGAAATACTAAGTTTGGGAGGCCAAGGCGGGTAGATCATAAGGTCAAGACCAGCCTGGCTAAGTTCGTGAAACCCTGTCTCTACTAAAAATACAAAAATTAGCCAGGTGTGGTGGCAGGCGCGTGTATTCCCAGCTACTTAGGAGGCTGAGGCAGAGAACTGTTTAAACCCGGGAGGCAGAGGTTGCAGTGAGCCAAGATCATGCCACTACATTCCAGCCTGGGTAACACAGTGAGACTCGGTCTCAAAAAAAATAAATAAAAATAAAATAAATACAAAGCACCAAAGATCACAGGGAAACTTTATACAGTCACTGCCACATAACATTTAACAACAGACTGCACATATGATGATGGTACCGTATTTTATGGTATCTTTTCTGTGTTTAGGTACACAAATTCTTACTGTATTATAGGTGCCTACAGGGTTCAGCACAATGACACGCTGTACAGGTGTGTAGCCTGGAGTGACAGGCTATTCCATATGGGCTAGGTGTGTAACAGGGTGTACCACCTAGCTTTGTGTTAAGTACATGCCTGTAATCCCAGTTACTTGAGAGGCTGTGGTAGGAAAATTTGTTGTCACAAAACGACATGGCTTAACAACACGGCTCTCAGAATGCACCCCCCTCATTAAGTGATGCATAACCGTATTTAAATGGAAATCCTATTTTGAAATGCTTTAATTAAAATAAGATCGTATGAGACTATACTTTTTACCACTGACCTTTGAACCAAGATCTGATGAGACTACTTTTTTCCACTAAATATGTAAAAGAAAACTAAGAAAAAAAAACCAAAATATCTACTTTTAAAAAATTTCACAAGACATTAGAAGACTGAAGTACCATAATCTTCTGCTTTAATGTAGTGTTATTTATTTAAAACAAATTACATTAAATGAAAATTCTACATTACAATTCCATTGTTGAATCAAAAAAGTGACAAAGAAATAAGCCTCTTAATAAACAAGATTTTTTTTATTATTGTTGCTAATTTACAGTATCAGAAAACTCAGCAACCTGATTTGAAGCTCTCCTTTTCAGTACCTTAAAATCCCACCAGCCGAACACTTTTTGACTCTAGGTCCTAATATATATGGCAAGATCAAAGAAGAATCAAGCTCAATAGACGCCTTCGAGGACTGAATCTAGCTAGGAAGGCAAGTCACAGGGAACAAAGGTCACCTAACGCAGTAAACATGACAGACAACTGTACAGCCAGCCACTGGTCTACTAAGTAACTGCTATACACATTTAAAAGATGGAAAACATACAGTCCAAGATGGTGAGAAGCAGCTTCACTGAAGTTTCTGGATGGATGAACTTGAGCTGGAGCTAAAAAGATGAAAAGATTCAGATGGCCAGCAGAGGATGGGGAGAGTATTCTAAAACAGTAGTTCTTAAAGTGTGGTCTGGGGACCCTGGGGCGGCAGCAGGGGGGTGTCCCTTGACCCTTTCAGGGGTCCACGAGGTCAAAACTGTTTTTATGATAACATGAAGACGTATGATTTGCCCTTTAAAGCTCATTATGGGGAGTTTTTCACAGGCTACTCATATTAAATCAAAACAGCCTGCATGCAGGAGCAGGCAGCTACCTTCTATGGAGCCAGATGTTAAAAGAGATTTGCAAAAACAGAGCCATGCCACTTTCTTCAGCAAATTAAAAAAAAATTGTTTCCACATAAAAGTTTTTTTTATGTCAACAGGTAATGGGTGTTATTAATAGATGAACTATTTTAAAACTTTCAGCTTGAATTTAGTTTCTAATGAAAAATATCAGTAGATACAACCCACTAAAGAAAAGCTCTTTGGGATGCTCGATAATTTTGAAGAGTATAAAGCAGTGATCCCCCTTCTGTGTAAGCATTTCTCTTCTAAAGGAAATATAATGCTCAGATGAGTACGTGCCCTGTGTGGTTTGTAAGCAAACGAACATATTTTGGAAAGGTGTCTTTACAGTGCAGTGGCTCAACTGGGGGTGATCTGATCTGCCAGGAGACATTAGGCAATGTCTGGAGGGATCGTGGTTGTCACAGTTGGTGGGGGCAGTGGGCCACTGGCATCTAGGGGTAAGGCCAGGGATGCTGGTGAATGTCCTAGGAAGTACAGGGCCACTGGGCAGCCCCACAACAAAACATCTGGCCCCACAGTCAAGTGCTGAGATTGGAACCTTTGGTCTAGAGCGGTGGAGGTCACACAGGAGGCACCTGGGGTCTACCAACCTTGCAGCTTGTGATGTAGGACAGAATGGGGGCTAGAGAAGGGAGCTGCTTAAGGAAGAACCACCACTCCCAGGCCCCAAGGGCAGCAAGCCCAGGACAGCTGCCTCCTAACAACCCCAAAGCTCGGGATCTGCAGCAGTGGCGGACGGATCCTCCCTGCCAGGCCTCTTTCCCATTCCCCTGGGCTCGAAGGAAAGACCATGGTGAGGTGCTGGGAAGAGTGAGCCAAGACATGACAATTAAAAGCAAGTGATTCTACTTACTCCGTAATCATTACATAGGAATTTCATAAAGATTTTCAAAGTATTACTTCTCTTGGTCTTCTCTGGGTTTCACTGAAGTTCAGCTTAGGGTTGTATGAAAAAAAGTTGGGAAGAGACTGATGGAAACTGAGGCATGGGAGGTTCTAGAGAAAGCCCCAAGCTCAGAAGTGAGCCTACAGGGGTGTCAGGGACTTTCCTTGGAGGGATCACACCAAACTAAACGACTGTCCTTGTCGTTCTCACACTTAACTCAGGTGAAAACTCTTGCTACAGAACTGTGAAAAGGAGTATTTCTTGAAAAAATATTTTTCATGGCCCGGTGTGATGGCTCATGCCTGTAATCCCAGCACTCTGGGAGGCAGAGGCAAGGGGATCCCCTTAGCTTGGGAGTTTGAGACCGGCCTGACCAACATGAAGAAACACCGTCTCTACTAAAAATACAAAATTAGCCAGGCATGGTGGCACATGCCTATAATCCCAGCTACTCAGGAGGCTGAGGCAGGACAATCACTTGAGCCTGGGAGGTGAAGGTTGCAGTGAGCCAAGATTGCGCCACTGCAGTCCAGCTTGGGCAACAAAGTGAAACTCTGTCCCCACCCCCACCCCCAAAAAAAAGAAAGAAAAGAAAAGGTATTTTTCATAAAAAATGTTATTTAACATTATCTATTGGGTGTATTATTAAATATTTTTAAAATTTCAGTTTTAATTTCTAAAAAATTACTCCTCTGCCTAGCACCTATGTGGCCTGAGGCGACTGTCAGTCTCACTAGCTCTAGGACAACAGGGAGTGGTGGCAGTGGAATGTAAAGGGAGAGATTATAACAGGAAAAAGGTTGTTACTGAAGTTGAAGGTGCCAAGGCCAGCTAACGAGTTGGAGAGAGGGCTGTTCTTTCTTTTCAGCAACAGATATTATGGAGGAATTGCTGTAGAGACTTTCAAACAAAACTAAGCTGAAGCAGGTGTAAAACACACGACAATTCTCAAACCACCTTTAATGTGCTTAAAACAAATCACTTTACAAAAATCATGAACACTTTTAAAAATGTGATGCTGGACACAGTACACATGCTTAAAAGAACACCAACCTATGGTCTGATCTTACAAAACTGACTTTAGGAATCTTGGAGCAATTTACTAAGATTCTAAATAATCATAAAATGTGCCTAGTTATGTTTCCACAGATTTGAATGTTACACTGAGAACAGATGCTGAAAATTGAGTTTCCTTGTCAATCTCCACAGAATTTTCCAATTTCAAGTGGCCCATGAGCCCATTTGCTGCCTCATCCCTTAAGACTTCCTATGAAATAAATCAGAAGTACTGGGAAGAAACTTTTATTTCCAGGACAGATGTGCAAAAGCAACAAGTCAAAATTAACCATTCTATCTGGAAAGAGAAGAAACATGTACCAACACATTCATTCAAAGAGAAGTTTCTAGAATTAGGCAAATGTTACATGGCAGCAGTTATGACCTTAAACAGAATTTTGTGACATGAAAGATACATCCTGACATATCTCTTGCAGGGAAAATGTCTTTCAAGAAGGGTAACATCCAATCTGTTCTATACATTAAAAAATGGCGAGGGAGGGGAGCACTACACACTGGGGTCAGTTGGGGGCAAATAGGGGAGGGACGGTGGGGGGTGGGGAGCTGGGGAGAGATAGCAAGGGGAGAAATGCCAGATGTAGGTGATGGGGAGGAAGGCAGCAAATCACACTGCCACGTGTGTACCTATGCAACAATTTTGCATGTTCTTCACATGTACCCCAAAACCTAAAATGCAATAAAATAAATAAATGGGAAAAAAAAATGGCCTAATCTTAAACTCACCAAATCATTTTAAGGATGAGAAAACAGGGTCACACAAGTTAGGTGACATCATTTATGGCAAAGCAAGAATCTGCATGTTTATTTTCTAACTCCCAGGCTGAAATATTTTCCACTCTATCAGTCTATCCTCTATTCTAGGACTTCATCTTTCTTACGGAAAAACCCAAACCATCAAATGTCCCCTTGTTCTACCCAAGAATTGTTCTGCAACATATGCCGCCTGCTTCCTTGCTTCCTATGAGGCTAAATAGCCAGGCAGGATTTTATTATAAGGACCTGCCATAAACTTGAAGTAGGGTGTTAAGTCATTGAGAGGCCAGGTTCTTGAATGCTTTCTCTGTTGGGATTATTTCCACACCATCTGGCTCTCTGCCCTGGACAGGTCCCTGCTCTGTACATCTTTCAAGGCTGAGGCCCCAAGTGGGGTAACTGTCCCATCAGAAGGTGAGTTCACTGGGTAATGGGAGCAACTGCTCATTGTGAAGGTGACGTGATGTAAAAGCCTTGAAAGGGGCTGGACTCTGTGGCTTGCATCTGTAATCCCGGCACTTCGGGAGGTTGAGGTGGGCAGATTACCTGAGGTCAGGAGTTAGAGACCAGCCTGGCCAACATGGTGAAACCCTGTCTCTACTAAAAATACAAAAAAAATTAGCTGGGCATAGTGATGGGCACCTGTAATTGCAGCCACCTGGGGGGCTGAGGCGGGAGGATCGCTTGAACCCGGGAGGTGGAGGTTGCAGTGAGCAGAGACCACAGCATTGCACTCCAGCCTGGGAACAAGAGCAAAACTTTCTCAAAA